AAAAAAAAAAAAGCTAAGCATTTCTCCTTTTTTATTTTTCCACAAATAAACAAGAGTGCAGCACTGAAACAGGCATGGAGGAAGAGACATAAAGAAACAGAGAAAAGATGGCAGGGATGAGGCAGAGAGAGAGACAGAGAGACAGAAGAAAACAACAGTAGCATCTCTAGCTGTTATGTTTGCGTTTGAGCGCCTCCATCAGGTCGACCTTCAGAGCATCCTGCTTTGACTTGTCAGCCAGAGTCTGCACACTCCTGTGTGGAGGAGACACCAAACAACAAGGTGAGAAAAGTGAGTGGGAGCAAAAATCAAACAAGAAAACATCAAAGGGCTCGAAAAAGTTTCTCCAGTGAGACAGAAACACTCTGGCTGTAGGAAATTTATTAGTAACAATTCAAGTCTTCCTCTCTGTGGGGAGACGTTTTTTATGTCTCACTACAGAGAGATTTCATATGGTTATGACAACATGTTAGCTGTTTACACACTGCACACATAACCACCCGTTAAAGTCAGTTGTCGTCATGCAGTTGCAGCTTTATTATGACCCTGACAAATTTATATTTTACACTCACCGAACACCAAACCTCTTCAACTGCTCTTTAAAGTAAATACCTAAATGAGCCAGTCACATCACAGCAAAGTTGGAATATTTTATAAACCCCTGATCTACCTGCACAACCATCTCTAGGGTTTACAGAGAATAATGAAAAAAATAAGAGAAAAATAAGAGAATTCACAGACTGTTTTAAGGTGACAGGAAGACAACAGTAATTCAAATAACTACTCATTATGACCAAAGTATGCAGAGGAGCATCTCGGAACACACCACAGTCTACCCGAGTACTATTACTGACCAAGTCCATCCCTTTATAACCACAGTGTACCCATCTTCTGGTGGCTGCTTCCAGCAGAATAACACACCATGTTGCAAAGCTCAAATCATTGCACAATACGTACACAGTCACCAGATCTCAATCCAATAGAGCACCTATAGGTTGTGGTGGTCACATCATGGATGTGCAGCCAGCAAATCTGCAGCAACTGTGTGATGCCATCATGTCAACATGGACCATGCCGCAAAGACTTCAAGCAAAAAAGTGGTGTCCTACCCAGCAGTAGCAAGGTGCGCCTAATAAAGCCTCTGGGTGAGTGTATGTGAACATATCCACTTATTCTGCTTTCTTCTGAAGATGCCATCCCGTTAATCATCCATTTCCTGTTTTCTTTACAGTGCTGTGCTTTCACACACAGTGTTTTCAGTGCTACACGCTGAGTAAACACAGCATCTTAGAAAAACCTTATTAGGGCAACAAAGTGCAAAACAACACCCGGGTGAGTCATTTGAATACTCTGACTTGGTTAGTATGCTACTCTGTCAGAAATTAGCTGTTGAACACGAAGATAAACAAAACTTGCAATACAGCCTTTTGATCTTCAACACTGCATGATCATTCAAACTTCTAACAGTGCACATACGTAAACAATTTGAGGGGGGAAAAGGTGCTTTAATTTTTTTCTGTACATATCTTCATTTCCCTTTGAATGTCAGCCTTCACTCTTAATAGCCTGTTCCTGTTTTTACATTTGCTGCTCTACTTCCCCATTAAACCATTTCACTGCTGTTCCATCCAATCAAAGACTAACTCCCCCAGCAAATAATGATTAACAGAAACTGTAAGGATCAATTGTCAGTGTTATTGAGGTTATGTTGTAAACCTTAAGACAAAGATAGACACACCCACATATACAAACTTCTCCATGCTAGGTTGTACCTTTGACCCCTTCTCAATGGAGGTCTGTCGCTGGGTGAGCACCTGTGACAGCTCCTTTTGGAGCTGCCAGTACTTTTGATTGTCACGCAAAGACTCAATAGATCTGGAGCACAGAGGAGAGGCAGCAAGGGAGGAGAGGTGACAGAGGGATTAAAGAGGAGGAGAGACACGGATAGTGGAAATGTGGTACAAAGGGCAGCAACAAAAAAAGGACAGGAGCACTTGAGGAAAGGACTGAAATGTTCAAAGCAGTTGTGACAGAACTGTATTGAGTGACTGTATTTTTTAACAATCAAACACCCATCTCCACGGTGACGCCGTTTAAGTTTAGTACCAATTCAGGACAATGCACAACAAAAACAGTTTATGAAAAAACGCTATGTTGATTCCACATATTTTGTGGACTTGAATGTCGCCTACTTTGTAGACAGGCTACTGTAAGCAGCATGTTGTTGTGGAAAATGATTAATCTACTGTGAAATGAACTGAAAGCATGTACCACGTAGCCAATGTTTGTGGATTATGAAGAATCTATTTGAAGAATGAAGAACAAGATTTGTTTTTCAGCTGTTTTTTGCAGCCAATAAACAGATAGATCTTGTGTCCTTGGAATAACTGCATCAGCGAGGAATCTTTTGTGGCACCTCTGTGGGCACTGAGAGTTTCACTAAGCTGGCTGTCAAAAGGTCTCTACAATCTGTTGAGTCCTGAGCTGCGTCAGCTGCTAATGATGATGGCTTAAAAACGTTCAAGGAGTTTGTGACATAATCGGGTTTGTTCTACACACTGTCAATCAAACCCGCAAGCAGCAGGCAAACGGCTGATTTACACTTCTGCAGTGAATCTTTGCCTAAAACATCACGATTGGCCTTCATTCTAGTGTGTTTTGCGAATTACCTTGTGGTCATGTCCAAGTGTTTTATGCGATAGTAATAAACAAAAAAATTGAACTTTTCTGTCTTCTGGGTCTCTGCTCTTTGTTGAGATCAGTGTTTGTCCTCTATATTGAGACTATGATTATTATTCCTTATAAGGAGACAATTATTATTCTCTCACTGATAAATTCAAACACTGGGTCCAAAAAAAAATGCATAGGAGGAATGCAGTAGGCCAATCTCAATAGGTGCAGGATGCTTCAATGCAGCATGTAGTTACATTACCAGAAAGGTGCACATCAAATTATGGCGGATGTTACATTGTGGGTTTTCAGAGGGATCTTCGGTTACATCACACGTACGAAAGTATAAAGCCCCTGTAAGCCACTCATTGAAATTGGGGTGAAACACAGCTAAACCTCAGTTAGCCACAGTGTTGGTGATTTGAACCACACTTTGGAGCAGTGCTTCCAAAGATCTGCACTTTATAAGCTTGACACAGCGTCAGTATCGAGCATCCATCTCTAGGCACAGGGAAGGAGCAGGTGTAGTGAAAAGAAGACGAAATGCAGCTGAGACGAGGGGCAGCAAAAGCAGACTCAAATAATCAGATACAGGGTTGAGACTGAAACACAGGAGGCGAGACAACATCTGTCGTATGAGCTGCTGACTGGAAGTGCTGTGGAAGAAAACATGATCCCATGATGTAGAGAGCTAATGCAGCAGTACCTCAGGCCGTTGACGATGTCCTTGGTCTTCCCAAAGTAGATTTCATTCAGTGTGGAGCGGATCTTATTCTCCATATCCTAGAAAAACAATATGAATGCATTATAACTGCTAGCTCTATTCTTCTATTTGATTCTTAACATTTTGACTTCATGAACATGGAGTTGTGTGACAGCGATGTAAAGTATGACAGGTTTTGTAATGTCCCGTGAGGCGAAGGGATTTTCCTCTGCTGAATGTGAAAAAACAGTAAATCAAGAGTGAAGAATGAAGCACTCACCACCACTGTGACTGTGGCTTACTGTCTATGATGCATGTTAAGGATTTTACTTGTGAACTGCTTATGCAAAAATAAAAAAAAAGTCCCCAAAAATATTTCTGCAGAACCTGTTACATGCAAATATACAAAGATATCACAATCGAGATGTCACGAAACTGAAACTGAATCTTATCCATCAACACAACAAAAATTCACACAGCTGCAACAAAGCCATGGCCATTTCAAACCACTTTTTACACTTGTACTCCCTGTATAAAACACCCAACACAGGACTCCTATGATTCACTTTCTATCAGCAATGTGAAGTAGCACTGTGGTATGCTAATGCGAAGGCTTCCTCTTAGTCGGTTTCATAACCACTTTTGCGCCGTTTTAAGTCTTTACTTGAACAGCAGTAAGACTGGCAATGCAGGAAAAGAGGCATTGCAAGAGAGCAAAACACAAGTAAGCTGCTGGATTAGCTTGTTTATCACATGACTTTTGAAGTCATGCAGAGTCCTGCATAGGAGACTGATTCAGGAGAAACACACTGCAGTCATTTTACTGCTTTTAGCAGTATCGCTGCTTCAGACAGGGAGAGAGAAGGAAGTTAAGTCGACGGCTTTACTGACTTCAACGAGGCGGCCGATGTTAGCGATGTGGGGTGAGGACTCTCCAACCGTCTCGTCTTTCTCCATCTGTTTAAAAAAAAACGGAGAAAAAAAGAGATACCACGTTTTGTTAATTAATTAATCCCTATAGCATGAGAGGACCAATCAGCCGTTTAGTTCAACATGCTACCTGTCTTGTAAGGCTGCCGCCGAGGTTCATGGTACCGGAGCCAGTTTTCGTTGTCTGGAGCCACAGCATGACAGTGGAGGTGAGTTTGTAGTGAGCGGTACGACCACTGGACTTCTCCTGTTTGCAAAAACAGAGGCAACAAGCAATTATGCAAAACATGACAACATGTTACCATCCAGAAAAGATAATGGTGCATGTTTGTGAAGCTCTGCTGTGCATGTGTGTACGACACGTGGAGCTGAGCGAGGAAAGACAACTACTCGAGCTGCTGTCAACCTGGTCCATTACCGTAAGTGCACTAAAAGCTTTCTAAGTTTTAACCTTAAACTCCAGAAAGTCATGCAAAAGCATCTTCAATCTGGCAACAGTGTCCTGGATGCTAGAAGCTCTCCTGGCTGACAATGGTACAGCTGCTAAATATCAAACAAGCCTGTAAAATATCAAACAGCTTCATTCATCTGCTTCTCACCTGCACCTCCACCACATGAATGGAGTCCCAGCACCCTTTGATCTTCTTGGATCCATCTCCAGCCTTCTTAATGAGAATAACTCCTGCAAAGCCGTGATCCAAATCCCAGAGGTACACGGAGGAAACCCCACCTTCAAAGTACCTGAATAACACAGACATCAGATGTCACAAGAGGCTGAAACTGACAGGTTATTAAACACTCCACATCAGATTTCTTCTCTGGCACTTACAGGTCTCTGTACTGATCGAAGGCATTGTTTGCCTCAACCTCAAGTTTCCTCAGGCGGGCTGAAGGCATTGCACCGTCTTCAATGGGAGGTTCATACTTATTACTCCACGGGGATCTGATGAATGAAACATTCAGATTTTAGACAGAGGTATATATTAAATTTAGCTGTTAGAAACATACTTGTGATACTAGTGTTTAAAAGTGAAAACAGTGACCTGCTTCAAGTGAAACCTTAAGCTTGCTTGCATTATACAAGCAAAAGTCCAAACATCAAAGGAGGTTAAGTTCACGGTCCTCATATAGGTGAAGCATAAGTTAAAGTATGAAGACATTTCATTTTATACTTAATTTGATTTTTCTCTCAATGCCCATGATATCGTCATGAACCACTATCAAATGGGTTGCTGTTACATTGACTTTACATGGTGCAAATTTGTCAAATATTTTGAAAAAAATTCTAATAAATCAGGCTTAATTCTTGAATTTTTATGTATTAAGCTTTAATTCTAAAACTGAGAGCTAAATAATGTGCTGGTTTTATTAAGACAAACTGAAAAATGTGCATTTTTGGAAAGGTTTTGTGACAGACAAAAACTGAAAATTCATTTGTTCTACCTCAGCAGATATACTGATTATAACAGACACTGCCTGGCAAAACAAAACATCAGAACCCAGAGATACCTGAGCAAATGGATAAGAGCCCTGGGAAGAGAGAGGCTCAGGGTGCATGGGAAATAATTTGTGGATTGGCCACCACAGAGTCCAGACTTTAACCCCACTGAGAATATTTTGGTTGTGCTAGAGACGATTTTACACAGTAGTCTGACTCTTCCACCATGATCAAAAGATCTTGGTGAAGAAATTAATGAAACTCTGGATAGAAATATATCTTCTGACATTGCTTAAGCTCAACTATCACAGCGAACTTGTGCCACCATTAAAGCTAAAGGCAGCCCAACAAAATATCCCCATTTTTACCCCACAGTCTGCAGCGTATGTTCCTTTGAATGGGCTAAAATGCAGCTATGACCGCTACCTGTAGGAGTCGCCGTCTCGGTTGTAATCACAGAGCAGATAGTCTTTCCCCACCACTTTGTCTCGTGCGATCTTTAGGGGCTGGTCCACAGAGGAGAGGAGGTCCTCACACAGACTGGGCACCTGGATGCAAACATGGGGAGAAAAAGCTCAGTACATGACCACAGATGATTAATTACAGCAGCTGCAGAGCATCTAAACCCCTCAAACATTTCATAGAGTATGTTCCGTATGACGTGAGAGTACTCAAGAGACATGAAAGGGTGTTTTGGTAAAATTAGCCTTCCTAGAACAGATACCAGCTTGGAGAGAAGAAGAAAAAAAAAATCACTGATGCGTGGAGGAGCAGTCTAACAAAACACAGAGGATCACGTCATGTGATCTTCTCACTGTAGATGAAAACATACTTTTAAGTTCTCGTCTTTCGCTCACATTCCAGTTTCACCCCATAAGCAGAGGTTACTGAGAGGAGATGGAATAAAATATCATTGGGAAACATAATATCTGGAGGATAAGGGGGTACAAATTAGTTCTCACAGACTGACATGGAGTCCCTTTGCTATGCGTTCCTGCATCAGCGCATAGACACAAAGGAGCGCCTGTTACCCAGGCCAAAAAAAAAGCCTCATACCCCTGAACAAACACACACACACACACACACACGCACGCACGCACGCACGCACGCACGCACACCTGGCAGCCTAGACTGGCTGAGACAAGCCAAACAAGGGTGGACAAAATCCAGTGGGAAGAGCATGTAGTGGTGAGGGTGGGGGGTGGTCAGTGAGGAGAAGAGGAGGCGGAAAGAGAGAGGTGATTTTAGATGATTACGTGGAAGAGGTGGAGAAGGGACTGAGCCTAAAGGTGCCTGGCAGCAGAAGTGATTGACAGCTGTGATAATAATCACTAACAACCAGCCACAGTGGTCATAGGGTAAGGAAAGAACAGATGTCCGGGTGGGTGGGGGAGAAGGGTTAAAGGTGAGAGAAGAGGAAGTTGAGCAGGTGGGGAGTCTGGCTGAAAGGGTACGGATATACCCACAAAAATAAGGTGCAATGCAAACAGAGGCACAAGTGTGATTTGATTTGTGTCCAGTTATAATCTGTCAGCTTTAGCTGAGACTGTTGTTAAAATGCGCCGAGTAACTCGACCAACTTCAAATACAGAAAACTGCAGGGGGGGGAAGTAATAACTATCACACAAGCAGAAGTTTTTTTCCCCTTTGGTGTGGCTACTTCCACTCTGAACAAATATGATTAAACCCTTTTTAAAATGCTGAAAGTAGTATCAGTTACCCAGATAATACAGTGGTGTGCAGCAAAACTCACTTTTGTATAATATGAAAATAAATACCACATATAGAGATATGCAAATACTTTAAGACATGCCATTATTTGAAAGACCTTTCCCCAAATCAGACCGACTGACATTTTATGGTAGCTTGATAAAACAAATCCATAATAAATTGTTATTAACACATTACTAATACTACTATTTATATTCACCAGCCATTTTATTAGGCATAGCCTGGGTTGGACCCTCTTTTGCCTTCCGAAGTCCTTTAATACTTCGTGGCAGAGATTCAACAAGTTGCTGGAAACATATCCTCAGAGATTTTCATCCATACTGACACGACAGCAGTTGACGTGATAGGTGCTGCTTATTTCTCGTGTGTATGTCCATGATGCAAATCTCCTTTTCCACCACATCCCATAGCTGCTCTATTCTTGGACTGAGATCTGATGACTGCAGTGGCCATTTGAATACAGAGCACTCATTGTTATGTTGAAGAAACCAGTCTGAGATGATCTGAGCTCAGTTCCATGGTGTTCTATGTAGCTGGAAGCAGCCATGAGACGATGGGTAAAATGTGGTTATGAAAGGATGGACAAGGTTGGACAGGAAAAATTCTCAGTTAGGCTGTAATTTAAACAACGATCAGTTGGTACAAAGGGGCCTTAAATATGCCAAGATACTAACCCCCACACTATTACACCACCACCGACAGCCTGAACTGTTGATACAATGCAGCAAGGGTCCAAGCTTTTATGTTGTTGCAGGAAGTCTGACCCTAACATCTGAATGTTGAAGCAGAAATCAACATTCTTCAGAGCAAGAAATGTTTATCTAGTCTTCTATTGTTAAACTTTGGTGAGCCTGTGTGAACTGTAGCCTCAGTTTCCTGTTCTTAGCTGACAGCTGACAATTAGCACCCAGTGTGGTCTTCTGCTGCTGTAGGTTAAAAAAAACATTACACACACCACACAAAAAATCAGAGCTCCTCTGCAAAACCTTTGTTGTAACGAGTAGTTATTTAAGTTCGTAAAGCAGTCTCTTCTCTGACGACTGGAAGTGTCACTGTAAACAGTTGCTTAGACAGCTGCGTTAACAGGCAGTTGTGGTGTACCTAACAAATTATTCAACCTTAGAAGTAAAAGTTATCTAAAGTTTAATAAGTGACTTGTCCATTCACGGGAAATTTTTAGACTGAATACAGAGACACTCTGGAGAAGAACAGATTTCACTCTCAGTTGTGAATCAGCTGTTTGAAGAACAACAAGTGAAAGTCTCTGGATCTCCAATCTGGATTCAAACCAAATGCCAAAAAGGCACAGTTTTAGTCACACTGCATTTCAGGTTTAACAGCCTCATCCTAATGTGTTCAGGATGATGATCAGACAGTAACTCACCAGGTCAATGAGGTCACTGAGGTTCTTCTCGATCTGCTGAGGAGGCAGACGCCTCATCAGGTCCAGAGCACAATCCAGCTGCTGGTCATTCTGAAAAATAACCAGCAGAGACAACGGCTTAACATTAGATCACAGTTAAAAAATGAATTCAAAACAAAATGTCTGTGCTATAGAGAATAAACAAGACACAGATTGTGTGTGTGTGTTTTTTTAGCATTAAACTAACATTGGTGGTCTGCGGGCTTCTCTTGGTCACCACTGAAGAGAGCTAAGTTGTTCCACGAAACTGAAGTGAAACTGAGTGTTAAAACTATGAAAAGCGTCCACTGCAGCGACCGTCTGTGCTGCTCATGACGTAGTTTTTCATCGCCTAGATTTCTGCACTTGTCTTTTCGAGCGGAGTTCTGCTGTCACTCTTCCCCCTTCTAGCCGACTTTTCAACTAATCTGACCAACGCAAAGCATCATCAACGCCAAACTAACTGCTGGTATCTTCAAGGACAGCATCCAAGCATGTTACGTTTGTGCATGTTGCAGATTTGGTACTGTAAGTTCACCACAGCTAACCTTTTACATTTGTTTATTTATAAGGAACCACATTAGCTTCCACAACAGTGGTTGCTAGCCTTCCTGGTGCCCAAACCAAGTGAAGTGGGGCCCAAACTAAGTGAAAGGACATTTACAGTATTTGTCTTTTTCTGTGCCAAAAGCACAGCTACTAACAGTTAAAGAGGAAAACTTAGATTTTACAGGCAGTGCTGACTGGAAGGATCACCTGAACTCTTCCTGTAACTTCATCTCTTCCCACAGACACCGAGGCAAGTTTCCAAAGAATTCCTGACATGGTCTTTGTTTTCTGGATGATACACTTCTTAAGATCAGCTAACACCTCTTTATACACTGCAGATTCATCTCAATAATACATTCACGCGAATGGGTTTCTGAATGCCCATGCTCAGAACATGAGCAGATGCTCATGTTAAATAGGGCCAACAAATTATTCAGGGGCCAAAAGGTCAAAAGTTTCAGGGGTTTTTTTTCTATTTGTAGCCGTGTATCATTAAGAAGAGAATAGCGTTGTCTTAAAGCACATCAGCCTCCATTCATCTGCTGTTAAATCCTTCTGTTTGTGGGGGACAGCCAATCAGAAGAAAGTGAGATGAGCCAAAACAGGTAAATGGCGAATACAAGTCTAATATTGGGGGTTGGGGGAAAAAAAGCAGGTTTCATTTAATAAAGAAATGCTCTGCTGTGGTAATTAAAATGTTACTTAAAAAGCACAACTTAAAAAAAATGAATCAGCTCTGCAAACTTACAGAGACTCACAGGCTCACATTAACTGAGTAGCTGTATTACGCAGAGAAGTATAAATACGCAGCCTCATGCTTGAGTAAACAAAGCAACCACATCGTACCCTCATCAGTGTCTCCACCACAACACGGTAATAAAAGTCCTGCTACATTCTGTACACGGGTACGACTACAGTTGCCGTGGGCACACTGCTAGAATACAGACACACAACTTTCCAGCTCAGTAGACTGAACATCTCTCATGATTTGTCATGTGAGCACCTTGCAGAGAGTTGTGAAAAGAAAAGCTTCATTTAGGGGGTTGGAGAAAACAAAACTATGTACAGCACCTCAGTGCACAGGCTTGAAAGTTATCTAGGCTGTGTGGTGGTTCAAGGGTTTGTGTTTGGTTGATTAGTTTCATGTATGAACAAAGGAGGGGAAACCTGGTTAAAGAATCATCATCATGGGGCAACAGGAAGTGTGGTAGAGTAGCATTTAAAGGTCAGGTCTATCCTTATCATTCGAGTCAAACTTTTACTTTAGGGTTTAGTTAAAGAGACAGTGCAGTACAGTTTTTATTTGGAATTAACTGCTTACGGGTAATTCCGTTTTTAAGACTCAGCTGTTTACTATACATCTTATGTAGAAACTTCTCCGCTTCTGCAGACTGGGATGTGTTGGGAGACCAAAGGTAAAACTAGCTGCTTGGACTGTGAATTTGGTCACAGATGAAACTTTCACACATTCAAGTTCTGGCAGGACAGAAATTTCTAATCCAGTTCCTGCCACACACATACAGATATTCAATGACAAAATCCCTCCCCACCCACCTCCCAACGACCATTATCAACTTGTCTGAATCACACAAGCTGACAGATTTATGCGACAATAAAATAAGGTGAACAATCGAAGCCTTGAAAATCCTGCACTGATAAAGCCTTTGTGATCAAAGGATCTTCATCTTTTCACCTGATAAGCGTACAACTACGCTTTGCATCTACACTTCTTCCAAACTCCTAAGGTTTTCTCTTTTCCCCAACCTTGTAATTGGAACCTTTGATTAAGTACTGCAGAGTGAGCCTGCGATGCAATCAATCCCCCACCAAGCTGAGTCAGACAGATGCCTCTCATCTCTCTGTCAATCTGGCTTGTAAGACGATGGCTACAACTTCACAGTAAGGTTAAATCAATACACAGCCTAAAGGTACATTTGGTAGAATGATCAAAAACAGTGCAGAGTAGCCGTTATCTGCAGAACCAAAGGCACCAAAATCAATTTAGTGTCTTTACTACAGTCTGAACTGAAGTGGACTTATTTCGACTACAGTGTGAAGCAGCAGATCCAGTTGTATTAGCAATAACACACGTTGTTACCTTTATATGTTCCTTTAAAAAAGAAAAGAAAAGAATGAAATCTGAAACAGCATCTTGGCCGTGCATAAGGTTTAGGATTAGGGAAATGGAAACCACTACAGTTATCCTTCACCAAGCAAACCATTCAGAACTAAAATAAGAACATGGTGATAACCACAGAGCACTGACATAACATAGCTTTTACCCCCAGGGGGGTTTTCTGCCTTAACTATGCAGCGAACAGCAGGATGTTGGAGAAGAGCAGTGGATGGACTGGCCACAACATGAAACTCTGGGGAATGTGCCGGAAAATGTTTTTAAGTGTGTGATAATAAAAGGGACTAAACATGTTTTTCAAGCTTCTCCATAGAAGGTACTGGCTTTGTTGCAAACACTTCCAGCCTGGCTTTATCAGACAATGATCAATGTTTTGACTGCCACTCAGCAATCTAGCTAAACATGTTTCATAATGCCTACTTAAAAGCCATTAACATATATGGATTTACTTTACAATTCCTCGATCCTGACATCCATTACAAACAAAAACGTGCTTATGATATGTGTTTGGCGGCCAGAAAACACTGAACATGAAGCGAAAGAGTCTTCTAGAGGTGAGACAATCTCTAATATCACCACTCAAGTAAAGCCTTAAGAGAGTAAACCTAATAATCCATTACTCATAGCTCCTCAATCCATCCATAAATATTTTTCCTTAAGGGCGACCCCGAACGTAACAGAATTTTTTAACGCAGATTTTCCCAGGCCACTTTGTCTCCTCCGAGATGATTTCTGCCTTGTTTCACGTTTCCCTCAACTGAAGGCTCCATCAGACACCTGTGCTTCTTGACACTGTGTTTAACAGTGCTCCTGTCTCCATGTAAACACTAGCTCAGACCAACAAGCCTCGGGGTCAGGGGAGAACGATGAGGCTGGGCCTAGCAGGATGGATGAGGTGAGGAAGAGGAGAGAGTAGGCGACTGTGGAAGAAAAACAGCTGCTCTTCCCATTTTTCGTATGCTTTTATAAACAGTGTAAGACAGAGCAAGCCCATTTTACAAGTGGTCAAGTCAAACATATTAATAGAAATATATATATTTTTTTTTGATAAGCACAAATACGGGTCCAATTAAAGCAAGCCTACTGCTATATGGGCTAAAAACGTAGGAGAATGAGCCAAAATAAGGAATAAGTAAACAGTGAGTGCTGTGCTGGTATGGATTGTTTGGACTGGGTGTAATATTCTCCTCCAGAGAAACCATTAGCTCAGTCAAGATCAAACTTATAAGGCTGGGAAAATCAGGCTGACAGCTTGTCATGGTTAGGAATAGGAGGAGCGAGCGGTCTTATTTTAGCTACAGGCATCCCGGCGCTTGGCTATTTTAGCCTGTGTGTAAGTGTATGTGCACAGGCGTGTGTGCGTGTGTCAGTGTGTTATATTAGGACCCTTCGCCATTACTATTAACCAACTTGTGTTAAATCCAAAACATCCTGTGCTAACTTTATGCCTACGGGGCATGTAGCCCGGCTAGCTATGAGCTAACTAGCAGGAAGAAACAGCAGCTAGCTTAACCACGAAGCTAATTCATTCTCATCCGGTAGTTCAGCGCAAGTTTTGCCAGCAGTGCAAGTTAAATATGCGTCGATGATTTATATCATCTGCTGCTCCTCTCCGGTTACTACCGTGCGCCTCTAGCCAGCGCTAGCTTAGCTTAGCACCCCCTCCCTCCAGTTAGCAGCCCCGTCCCCGTCTCTCCCAGCAGCCTGAACGCGGCCCTTACCATGTCTGCGGCGGTCTCAGCTGGGCAGGAGAGAGCACGACTTCACCGATGAGTGTACACCCTAACTTTACTATGGTTTAACAGGTCGCTCCTTTTGTCTCTTGTTGCTTTGATGTTGTTTGAGAGCCGTGATGAAGATGTTTTGTTCGCGTCTCCCTCTCTGAACCCAGCCCTGTCAGCGAAATTCACTTCCTCAACCGGGCTACAGGAAGGAGGCTGCAGTCACAAAAACAGGCCCCGGTTGCATGTCCGGGTCACTCTGGCCTTTCTCTGCAGCAGCCAATAGCGAAGGAGCAAGAAAGGCATTGCCAAGTATGGAAAGAGAGGAGTGGTGTAGTAAATGTGCTGTCAGAGAGGGCAGCAGAGGGGGAGTTAAAAAATAAACCCCCAAAACACGGAGACTGCAGGCGGCGGCAAGTTTAACGTATACAGTGTCTCATGAACAAGAAAGCAGATCTTAATTTCTATTTTTCTGTGAGTTATTATGAACTACTTTCTCACTTTTATTTTTGTGCAATTAATCTTCAGTGGTAAGAGCAATTTTATATGTTTTTAAATTAAGTTTTGATCTTTAAATATTTAATAGTAGTTATTATAAAAGAAAATCACTTCTAACTTGTTTTTGTTTTCATGTCATTTGTCTTATTTTGTTGCCCTTTGTTCAGTTTAATATAATCTGAATGTTCCCTCAAGTGCATGATAGTGATGGAAGTTAATATATATCTATATGTCAGGTAATCCGTTAGTTATTAATGCTAAGGGCACTGCTGTAAAGGCAAGCTGATCACCTTTGATAATTATTACTTGTAATACTGAGAGTTACCGTACTATGCAGAAGTCTCGAGCCACCCATAATTTCTCTATATTTTGCTGGGAAAATTAAAAATATATGCAGCTATTCATTGAAACTGAGTTTCAGCTTATATACTGATACAGTATATAAGGCAAAAACTGAGTTTGTGCTCTTCTGACGAGTTTGAAAGTCAATATTTGGTATGACCAACTTTATATTTCAGCACAGTCTGAACTCTGTTAGGCAAGCTTTCTTGTTATTTCTTTAAGCAGTCTTCAGGAATAGTTCTCGGGGCTTCTTGAAGGACATTCAACTCAGTGTGTTTGGAGTAATTGTCATACAGAAAAGTTGAGCCGTTGTCAATCAATGCTTTCCAGATGGTATTACATAGTGGATCAATATCTCATAGTACTTTTCTGTGTTCATAATTGAATCAATTTTGACAAGATCCACTGGCTTAAATACAGCTCGAAACAATGACAGAGCCTCGTGTTTTACAGATAGCTATAGACACTCAATGTTGTACCTCTTGCCTTACCCCCCCTGTATATACTCATAACAGCCTGAACCCAAAATTTTAAATTTGGATTTATCACCCCGTCAGACCTACTGCCACTTCCTTACGACTGACTTCTTGACAGCCACGCTTCCACTAAGACCATTTCTTATGAGGCTTCAGTGAACAGTAGATGGATCCAGTGAAGGGCCAGACGCATCACTCTTATTTCTTTTTTGTTTTTGTTTCTTTATGTGTGACAAACTGCTAGCAACAAAGTGCCTAAAGATGTAATTTAAAATCAGTACTTTGCTAAGTTGTCTGTTGTCTGTAGACACAATACTGGTTTGTCCCAGTGTTGTGTCTTCGGAATCATTCAAGCATAAGAGTCCTTCCCTTATGCTTGAATGATTCATAGGTCAGTGATAAGTGGCTTAACAAAGAAAATAAACATCACCCTGAAAAAACTAGACTGAAAATGAGTGAAAAAGCAGCCAGTGTCCAAAGAAAAACTTTGAAAGACCTTCAGAAAGCCTGGAGAGCTATTGGTCAAGAACACTTTAAAAAATATATAAGAAAGTTTGTGTCTCCAAGGAAACAAAATATAAAGAAACCGGGAGTGGGTCAAGACTTTTGCGTATAATGACATTATGCCAACTAGGTTCTCCCCCTAGAAAGAAGCTGCGTACATCCTATTTTGTTTGCAAATTAGAAACCTGCCTGCAAACCTCACTAACATCTGTATATTACTGAGTGTTTGAGAACAGCTCCATTTCCAGCATAAACAATCAGTGTTACACACAGAGTGTTTCTGAGAAAATAAAACAAGAAAAAGGCAAAATTCTTACTTAACCTCTTAAGCCCCAACGCCCCCTGATACGGGGGCAAAAAGCAGGAGATCAGGTAGGCTTGGGGCTTAAGAGGTTAACACATAGCATATATAATCACACGGGTAACCAATTTCAGTGGCAACTTTGTTTATTTTTTTAAATTGTGGTTGCATTAAACTGAAATCCCTGGCCTGCCCACATCTGATGTGCAACACTTTGTGAATGCATGCAGAATTTCCTGCACACATATGCGTTTGGGCGAGATGACTAATCAACTAATCAAAGTGGAAGTTTTAAGGTAAGGTCAAATATAACCCAGAAAAAAATGTCTTCACCATTTACAGATGTCTCAGAGATTACTCAGAGGTAAATAATTTGGACTGTTTACATCATAGCAAATACGCTGCAACATGAAGCCGGATACAAACTCTTAGTAACTTTTTCTCAAATACAGTGTTTGTGTCTAACTGAATGATTAAGAAATCAAAAAGTCAAAGGTCAAATGTAGTCATATAGCACTTTTGAAACAACAGAGCTGATCAAAGTTCTGCACTTTAAAAGTATATAGTATTTATATAGATATACTACAATAATATCCATAAAATTTGAGCACATTACCCAACATTAAAAGACAATAGAATAAAAAATAATAATAAATTGCATTTGTCTAAAAGAATGTCACACTGGAGCCCAATGCCAAGGAGAACAAATGCATTTCTAATAACAACTTAAATGTGTTTACTGTCTGAGCTGTGTGGATTTTGAGAGGTATTGTATAGACCTGGTGCTGTTGCTGCAAAAGCTCGATCACCTCTCTGTTTTAAGTTTGCATAGGAGGAACTGGTTAGATGACATCTGAGCTCTTATAATTGTGTGAATGTGAAGCAGCTCTGACAGATACAAAGATGCCAGTCCATTAAAAGCTTTCAATGTAAGCAATAAAATATAAAAATCAATTCCAAAACGGACAGGGAGCCAATGAAGAAATGGCAGGCCCAGTGTGCTGTGTTCAAGTTTTTTAATACCAGTAAAAGGTGAGCTGGTGAATTCTGGACTAACTGAAGGATATATGATTGTTATATACCAAAGTCCAGGGAATTACAGTAGTCCAGGCGGGAAGTGATTAAAAAGCATGAATAACTTTTTCCAGGTCCTTCTGTGGGAGATAAGGCTTTACCTCAGGCATGAAGCTAACTTTAGTGACAGCCCTTAACGTAGATCAATTAATAAAACAAAACAAAAACCACGCCACGTAATTACAATTTAAAGTTGTAATTTTAATTTCATAAAAGCTAAAAAGAAGAAAACGCATGAAAAGATAAAGGAAAGTGAATGGCAAAAGACGGAATACTGACGTGTTATGGAGGAATGAGTCATGTGACTTCATGCTTTTCTCGCGAGATCTTCCTGACTGCAGAAAACATGGCAGACGAACACGCACGGAAGTGGGACCGCTGCCTTGCTGACACAGCGGTGAAAACAGGTTAATTTCTTTTTATACACGCAGTGTAATTGTTTGCTGCTCTTATTAAACACTTGGATGTGTGTGAAACTTGGAGAATAAGGCGCACTACAGGTCAGAAGCAAGCGAGAAGTCATTTTAGCGGGATCTTAGTGTGACACTAAGGTCAAAGTTGTCTGCTGTACAGCTGAAACTTAATATTTGTTAACTCTGTAGTAATATATCATAAAAAAGCGGAGATATCGCCGCGGTGTGGGTTTTTTTCTGTGTTTTTGTGTGGGAGTGTGTGCGGTGTCGCGCTCTAGCGGATTTTTTTTTCTGTTTTTGGACTCTCTTGATCTACCTGCCCTTTCTCCACTACTTGCAGCCTTAATCAGTATCTTACAGTGATTATAAAGACCGAATAATTTATTTTAGTTATAAAACCAAACAATGTCTGCAGTTGCAGAAGGGATATACAAACTAATAAAAATATGTTTTAAATGAAATGAAATTAAAACAAACTAAAACAATTCTGCGAACCTGGAAAATAACTAACTAAAATAAAATAAAACAAAAATGAAGCGGCAATATCCTTATTTATATTACTTGTTAGTTTAATTAAACAAAACTTCTCACAGCTTTCCTGACGAGGCTTTGATGGATCCGTTTATTGAGACTCTGGTTGTCTACAACACTGTCAGTCAACAGCTTACAGAAAGTGTATTTTTTATGTAATTCCTGCACTGATTTTCCTCTATACACTAAAAATTATTTTTTTTAATTAAATTAAAAAATAACAGGAAAAATAATAAAAACAAAACTAAAATTAAACATGAACAACAGAAAGTAAACTGACACAAGAAAACCTGCTCTGGAAACTGAGAGTAAACTTAAAGAAAAAAGAAAAGGACACTTTTAAAAAAAAAGAACCTGTTAAAATACCAAATTTTTTATGGTCATTCTGTCAGATAATAACCAAATAACAATTTTGTTTGGTTTATTTGGTTTTGTAAATGCTATTAGTTAACAATCTATCAGTGTCTTTTTTTTCACACTTTAAATATCTATTTATATGACAATAACATAGTTGTTTATCACAGTTAATCTAAGTACAGGTTTGTGACATCAGTGTCTGTATACAAACATTTAAAGTTGTAATCTGTAGGGAGCAGATAATATTTATTTTTTGTATATACGTTTGATATAAATCTTAATATGAACACCTGATTTCTTTGCCTCTGTGTTTTTTGCATGTACACCTGGTTTATTGCACTGCTGTTTTTGTTGTTGTTGTTTTTATTTTTCCCGTTGTGGAGGTCAGGCTACATGGGCTCTGTTCTATTTATTTATTTTTAAATTTATTTTCTCTGCTGCTTTGCTAAGACTACTGTAATCTGCGGTTTACGTCAGGCTCACTAAAAAGAAGAGGTGTAGTCAGGTGACCTTTGAACTAGTTTTACTGGTATTTATTCATTTTTTGAACTTCAGAATCTTTATTCACACCAGGCATTAATTTGGCAGGTAAATTTTACACAAAAATCAAAAACAGATGTTTTAAGAATTTCATATTTGTAGTGTAAAGATTTTTTTTCATTTTTCTTTTTTTGAACAAAGAAAAATGTTGGCATGCAGTTCCGAGTAAAAAGGGGGAAAAGTCTCGTTTTTAGTTCACTGTTTTGCGAGCTAATTGTTAA